TTCTCAGCCCTTTGATTTAATCTTTATGGGCTTCCCAGCCCTTTAATCACTATCGGCTTCCCTGCCTTCTCAGCCCTCTGATCTTTATGGGCTTCCCAGCCCTTTAATCTCTATGAGTTTCCCAGCCTTTTGTTTTGTATGGGCTTCTCAGCCATAGGCTTCCCAACTCTTTGATCTTTATGGGCGTAGCCCTTTGATGTTTATGGGTTTCCCAGCGCTTTGATCTGTATGAGCCTCCCAGCCATATCGGATCATTTTTGTTACCTTGATATTGTGTCTTGGTTTTGTTACTTGTGTTTTTTTGTTATCATATATTTCCAGACCCTACCTTTGCCATCGCACTTAGCTTGAATATCCATTCAGATAGCGGTTTCATTTAAGTTCACCCCTGACTTGAAACTGTTGATCAATAGTATCCATAGTTTGTTCCTTCCTTTAAGCCTGGGCCCAAACATCTGAATTATGACATCAAAAGCTGACGGAGCTCGTGCTCGTGCCTGACGGTTTTGAGCGGTTTTAAGACCCAAGACGTGAACAAAAAGATCGGCCTGGTGAAGACGTGACGGTCCTATCACAGTTTACGATGACACCATCTATATCACTATCATCTGTTTGCCCACGCACCGTCTGAATTCTGAAACAACATCTCCTTGCTTTTAGGGGGGGTGCAAAACTCCTCAACCATCTACATGAAAAAGCGTCCGGAGTTCCAGCTTGCCTGACATGAGTCTCCAACCATTGCTTCCATGATTCCCTGAGGGCTCCTCAAACGGGAGCCTGCCACTGCCCCCGGAGCAGGCTCACGCGCTTGCTCGTCCGCGCGGGAGGTGCACGGACGCGGGAGGTGGCGCAACGGAGCAACCCCTCACTTGGCGGCGCTCCCGTCTGAGGCTATCGGTGAGATCTTCTGGAACGCGGCGGCGTGTGAATACGCTGTGAACCCTGTGACACTGACGGGAGGCGCAGGACACCGAAGGCTGGCTCCTGGCCCATATCCTCAGAAGGTGGTTAGACCCCCCTGGCACCCACCCCAACCACCGAACCGAAACGGAGGTAGGCTAGGAGCCCTCGGGAGTAAAACTGGTGGGACTCCACGTCGGCGGGACCAACGATCAGTCCCCAGCAAAAGTCCGTACAAACGGGAATAGAGGGGCCCAGTTTGGTACCATTTGTGATATACGGTACCATACTATATACTATACTTATGTTGTTCACAACTGGGGGTATCCCCTCACTCTATTGTATCAACATCATCAACCAATTAGTCCAATCGTGCATGAGCATCTATGGGCCACCACTTGCAAGAGCGGGTGATGATTTGAAGATCGAATCTCTTTCAAACTCCAGAAACATGGAAGTGGAGTGGAAACCCATTGCAAGACTTGTAGAGACAATGTTCATCGTCTTCCATCAGAGACCCTTTTATGGGACGTGAGGCTGGACGGTCGACGGTCGCGTCTCTTTCCGCCTTGGTTTTTCCGCACGGGAAGACGTCGGTCGACCGTTCTGCGTGCAGATACCTAGCTCCGTCCAGACCGAGAGACCTTGGTTGACCACACCGAAAATGCACAGAATAGACCTGAATTAGACGAGTGGGGACGTCAGCCTACCAGGGTTGAGGGGCTCTGGGTGCCATAGCCGGGCCAAGTCATCAACTTGCTGCTGCAAGTTAAACGTTGAGTTGGTTGATTGGTTGACTTTAGCGGCTTTAGCGGTTGGGAGAAGCAGGCACATGGCACATTCTTAACCAAATGCAGGGTGGCCTTGCCCCAACGAAGAACAAGAACTGCGATCTGAAATCCCGTGTTTCATGGGCTTTGCACCTTGGTCAGAAACGACCTCACACAACTCATGCGACTGGAATCGTTCAGTATTTCCCTCGTCTTTTGGCCCCCCCGTCTGTGTGATACAAAACCTAGCTACGGCGCCGATGACGGCGCCTTGTCGCGAAGCCACTGCGACCACTTCGCAGGGCTGACATCGGATGATGTCGGATGATACCTGGCAACCCTTTCACCAAATGGGCTCTGCCTCTGCGAGAGATGCCCCTTCACTTATTTTCCTACTACTACTGTAGCTGCTCGTCGATGGATCCATGACTTTTCATGTCGGACATGACCTTGAACCGAAAGATCAAGATGCCATGTCTGTACAAAAAATAGCAAAAATGTTAAGGAGCAAATAGCTACTATAGGAACAAGGGCATTACTACTAGGAGCACATAGCTACTAGGAACAAGGGCCCATTGTACCCAGCTTCTCAGATCAACCTTTCTCTTTGAGTTCGTCCAAAGAACGGTCCCCCAGCAAACTCAACAGCGCTCGCCAACAGCAAGCGACCATGTGAAGGGACCTGGATGTCGAACAGAGTCGGGTACTATCTGGCAAAAGATTCCAAAAGTCTCTTCTAAGTCGTCCACCCCCCAAAAAAACTGGAAAGTAAAGAGATCCTGCAAGTCGTTTCCATCTTCATCTGTAGGGGCCGAACAAAAAACGCCCCAAAAAGAAACGCCCAAAATCGAACGACCACGTGGTATACGAGGTCAATCCCAAACAAAATCACGTGGGTCACACGCCACCCGGGGGGTTGACACAAAGGACACATGACGCTTGTACCGGAACCCCGACTCAACCGATCAAATGACAAAAAACGGCGTCCGTGTCAAAGACTCAATCTCATGGTGATTGAACAAACCCCTGCCGGGCCCGATGCAAAACTCTTCGTCTCATGACCCTTGGACCACTTGTCGCGGCCCATGTCCACATCGACGTAGAACTCCCCTGAAGACTGCCATCCGCTTTTGGGAGACCATTTCTTCCGACTATTGATTGTACGTAACCCAGCTAATAATTAACCAAGAGCGTAGGCCATCGATGAATTCGAAAAAGAACCGAGGACACAGACGTCTCCCCTCACAGAGCCATTCCCGCCCTAAGCCTGCTCGAACCAGGGCAGTCAGGCGCCGCGCGGGCTGCGCGCAGCCCACGCAGCCAACCGCCACAGGGGGAGCAATGAAATAACTGTGAAACCGGATGAAACCCGGTGAGAAGTGAGACCAAGAAAGCAGCGTTGAACAACCGACGATTTGTTGAAAAACAAGGAACGTTAGGTCTAGGTGTGAAGCATGTTTGCGAAGTCGATGGATTTGTTGCGTGACTTTTGCTTAGATGCGTCTACCAAACATGGCCGATGAAATGATATATAACTTGTCAATGGCCCGCTGACCATGTCACTGAGAAGTCACTCTGCTCGCGGTTGGTCGTGCATGCCTTCCTAGTGAGATGTCCACCTGGGCAGTGAAGAAGGGTGAGACTGTTTGCGCGCACTGTCGTGGGGGGTGGGAAGAAGCCCTAGCAACAACTGTGGAGGATTCAAGATGCAAGGACAAGTCTTGGACAACTCTGTCAACATGATAAGAATGGAACTTTCGTCTCTAATCCCAATCGAGATAGGTGAGACCTGCGAAAATCCGTTGGCCTATTGATGCTTAGATTCTGCAGTGAGGTATTACTCAAACCAGCACAACGGAGTGTGGAGATGTGTGGATAATATTACAAATTACAACATTAGAGTACAAATCGTCACAAGAAATTATATATGAAATTGTTGTATTCGTACGCCCGGTATTGACAACAAATGTACGCTGAATATATGGTTGAATCATATAATCCTTGATGCTTCGAAAATACAATTCTGTGAAATGATCTCCGGCCCACACAAGTTGTCTTCCATCAGTCACTTCTCTGGTTCCTGGCCACAGACTCTGTTGGTCGCAAAAATGGGTCACAAAAACAGCCACGCTATGTCACACTGGTCACCGCGACTGGACTCGTCCAGTCGACTACCCAAGAGGAATCCAGGCTCACCCATGGAAGGCCTTCTTTTCTTCAGGTCCGGACTCAAAGGTTCACGCTGAATCAGTCACAGGGCCCGACTGTTCCGGGAATTCCGAATTCCTGAAGAATGGTGAGGCTGAACATTGGACCTCTAGAAGGGTCACTTCTAGAAGAGGTGTGGTGAAGAAGCAAGGTTGGGCATCCAACATCAATCCTTTGCAACTACGTATTATATCTTATTATCATAATGGTGATGACATTTCTTGATGGCAAAAGGTGAAGCAGCAGCATTACAGAGCACAAACATGCAGAGAAAACCGCAAAAAAAAAAGAAAACTGTTGATGTTCTTTGTTGTTTTAGATGGAACCCCTTCAAAATGCTGCAGTTCGTCCTGCATCCAACACCTTCGACCCATTGATCTTCACGGGTTCCACACCTCACCCCGCTCGTCCACAACCATCCACGGTTGGCGACTCGACCGGAACAACTCGGTCATCAAAGACCCCTCACTTCGATGTCCTCAATCTCCCCTTCAGGGTCTTCGAAGACGAAGACTCTTCGCACGAAAACGACCACAGTCATCGTAGCATCGTCACCACCTGTCACCCCACCCCACACCTGAGGACCCCCGACATGGCAGTGTTAGGCGGTGGCGGAGGCAGTGGCGGGGGTCCCGAGCTCGCGTCGTCGCCGCCCACCAAACCGTCCACCTTCGACGGAGGCGCTGCGGAGCCGCTGGCTGCGGCAGCACGTGAGTGCCGCGATCCCGGTGATCCCGGTGGAAGTGACCAAGAGGTGTGTGTGTGTGTAAGAACCCCTGTTCCCCCCCCCAAGCACTATATAATAGAAACTCCACCTAGCATTCAAAGGACAGGGCCCGAAGAGGTGACTCAGTGGTTGAGGACGACAGAGGAAATGTGTCATGCATTGCATGCATCGTGAACCTCGTAACCTCGAGTGTGTGGAAATGGACAATCCAACTGTTCTGATTTAAAAAAACTCAAATGGCTTGAAGTTGAAGACTCAAGGACCTTCTGGTCCACCATCACCATGAGGCGGAAGTATTTCACAAATTCCCCCCAAAACGGATATCCTGGGATATATCTGTGCAGTAGTTCGATGTATTTCGCTACGAACGCCACAAGGGCATTACTACTATAGCTAGAAGCTACGAACGGGGCGCTCCTGGCCTTACTAGGAACAAGAAGCTACGAACACAACACAGGGCATCGCCCAACGCACTCGGAGCAAGAAGACCTTCACGAGCTTTGCCTGGCCGTTGCCTGGCCGAAGCGGCCGGACGTCTGACCGTGCAAAAACCGGGCGCCCAGGCCATGCCCTTGGCGGCTGCATCATCGAAAGAGTTCCAGACCTCGATCTGTGATCCGGCCCCCCGGGGCCTCTCCGCGGCAAAGGTCCGGGCACTTCCACAATCCCACACACGACCTGTCGACTGCCATGACGGACTGCCGCCCCAGACAGACCCCGACTTTCCGCCTAATGGATCGGCAGTCCGGACTGGCAGTCGACAGGTCGTGTCTGGGAATTGTGGAAGGTCTGGAAGTAGAAATTGCATCATCCGCCGTCAACTCCCCAGTCTCCGACCGCATGTAGATACGCGGTCGAACGGAGATAGGAGTGCCCAGTAGATCGTCACTTAGAGACCCACAAAAAACACCCCTGTGTGAATTTGAACTGCAGACTTTTGGAGGAGGTGATTGATGGGGAATCATACGACAATCTACTATAATATACAAATCACCTGTCACCTCGACATTCTGCCGCTGTGGACTGTTCCGCAAGGTCTTCCTCGCCCCCCTTTCTTGGGCCTCTGGCAAGATGGCACCCGTCAACAATCTGATCCATCCTTAGAATGGCCTCAATAATTGCTACTTCACTAGCCTGCTACCTTCCCGGCAGTCATCCACTTCACAATAATAGCTTGTTCACTTGCATTTCTTCAGTTCTAAGAAGTGGAAAAACTCGTTTCGTGCCCTCACTACCTCCACCATCCACCGCCATCCCGTTCCGGGCCATCGTCCGCGTCTCCCATCGAGGGCCCCCCGGGCCGCAGCAGAACTCCCTTGCGCCGAAAGGTCGAGACGTGACGGAAACAGCACCGCCCCAGCACCGCCCCAGCACCTGTTTTCAGCAACCTGAGACTCTGGAAGACCACTCTGTTTTCATTCACACCAAGCCTTTCACCACTGTGTTTCACACTGTGAAACACTGCTCTTCCCGGTGTATTCTGGGCTTTCGGTCCCGGCAACTGATCCTGGAAGGAGGAGAAATCAGGTGTGGAGGAGCGTCAAGGACCAAATCCTGCACCAAAAAAGACATTAAACCCATCTATCTACACCCCAAGGCCTAGTGACTCCCCACAAATATCTCATCCAGCTGTGCTTCAAGATCCAGCTGCCAAGTGTGCTGGTCCGATTGGGAGTTCTCTCTGCTCGCCGCTGCTCACCGAGGTGAGGAGGATCTCACCAACCAACGGTCGCTTCACACAACATCGACTCCAACCTACTTGCAATGGCCTCCAAACTATTAGCGTCCTTGCCGTCCTTGCTTCTAGTAGTTTCTGAGTTACGTTCGTAGCGATGACCTCCAACCTACAGTCACCATGGCCTCCAACCTACAGGCATCCCATGTCGTATACCTCATCCCGTGTCGTGTGCGCAGGCGAACACATTGAGTAGCCTAGTAAGCACGATCTAGGCGCCTGCTGCAGGCACACCATCTTGAGGCATGTGCCTCAGCGGGAATCTTTGGGGGGAGAGAGCAACTTGAATAGGAGGAGCATGGATCTTGCTATATAGGAAACAGGTTGTCACATGTGGATCTTGGTGTAGTGGCTGCAAGGATATTGATTACACTGTTGATTACTTGGGTTTGCTTGTTTCGGAACCTGGCAAAAAAGAACTTCCAGGGGATTGACGGACCCGGGAAAATAAACGAATCACCTTAAACCAGGAGAATCACTTTCAGAAAGGGACTGCCCATCTCTTTTTGTGTCTCTTGGCGATCGATGGGCTCTCTTTCCATGTGAAAGTGGGTATGGTTTTACTTAAGTAGAAGGGCTTAGCCATTGCACAGAAGTCACCAGTTTTTACATACAAGGTCTTACAACCAATTGGTAGCAAATCATCCAAAAGTGTTTTGGGAAAGCAGGTTTTTGCCAACAAAAGCAGCTTAGTCTCCGGCACCGGTTGAAACATCTGAGAAGGCTCTTCCCAGCAGGGTCAGCGATGTTTCTCAAAGATCTCTCGGCGCTTCATGCCGCCACGTGCTTGGTTTCTCCAAAATCCCCTCCGACTTGGTGTCCGTCAAAAAGAAGGTTTCGACCGCTCCAAGAGTAATGACCCTTGTGCCCTATAGAAACGATTCTATCAGGGAGTGAACACTCACAACGCCCAGCGCGCGCGAATGAGAGATGTTCAGATCGATTCCTTTTGTTCGACCATCCACGGACCCCTTCATCTGTGCGATCTGCCGATCAGCCCCTTTTTTGGGACCTTTGCAGTCATGGGTGAAGCTTCCTAAATACTACATCCGGCTACTGCAGGTCAATAAAAAGGCCAAAACCATGGGCCAATGGCTCAAGCCAGCGAGTAGAAGCTTCATATGCGGCTGCTTCTTCTTTGCGTCTTTGCCAACCATTCCCAAACCATCCATGACCTCCCACACGCTCGCGGACGCGAGCCGCGCACGAGAGCCGCGCAACTCCTTGGGACTCCCAACGCAGGTGGCGCGGGGGGCTGTTGATTCGGAGGCGCCGGCAGTGGCGCTTGCTGGGCGTCCGATTGACGGCGTTGAGCGATTGAAAGCTGGAGAGAAAATCCCATGACCAGGTTAAGTGGATGGTTGTTATTATGTATGGTTAGGTTGCAAACCTTTCCCCCAAAAGGGATATATAATCTTTTACCGACTGTTAGTGGTAATGGGACACATCCCTATGCAGATCCATGGCATCAAAAAGGATCGGGAAATCTACGGACATCTGGAAATATGGTTGGGATCTGGAGGTCTAGACATGTTGATGTGTTGCATTAAACACCTTCTGAAGATGGATGTGTCAAATCATGTCAAAACATGTCAAAACGAAGAACTGTCTTCTCATGCTCAGATTTCAGTCAAAAACCGTGCGACGTCTAAGTGGATTGTCCTACTAAGTGGATCACACTATGTACTACGTCTATGTACCATATTGGCCAATCAGTTGGAGTGGTTGAGCAGGGGGTCAACGAGTGTTTGGCTCTGAGACTTCATCTCGACCCCAGCTCTGAGAGTTCATGTCGGACATATACGGCGGTGAAGTCTTTGAAACTTCCGTCGTGGTCGCCCACAAGTCGCCAAGGGTTTGCGTCCGCATCGCGTCCGCATCGCTTCCGCGGTTTGAGGTGGAAGGAAAGCCACATTTGTTCACAAGGCATTGGAAGGCACAGGAACTCAAGGCCGTTCTGAACGGGTTCCAAGGCCTTGTCGTTCGCGCGACAGAACGGACCCACGGACCTTTCCGATGTCGCACCTTGTCGTTCAGGGACATGTCCGAGAGCTGCCAAACCTGCGACAAGGTGAATGGCTACGGTCACCACAACACCACAAGTGAAGATTGCTCCAAATCTGTGCTCTAAGCTCCCCCGAAACGTACTGTGAAACATACCTCACCACCGAGACTGATAGATGCAACTTCCTCCACTACAAGGAGCGGGTATCAGTGGGACAGGCTTTGGTTTTAACGGGGTAAGTCGTATAATGTATATATAAGATAAGTTGCTCTTCCCTGGAAGTTCAACACAACGTTCAATCAACTCGTCAACCCGTCGATGCGACGTATCGATGGCGGGCAACGAACCTTAGTTTTTCCAGTCTTGAGCCAAATCAGGTTGGCGTCCAGTGACACAGTGCAAACGGCAAAGCCGATTACCGATGATGCAAGTCTTTACATGACAATTCCAGTCTTGGATAAGTGCTCCTAGACATCAACTATACATGACGTGTCATCTATACATGAAGTGTGCAACCTCACTCAAAGCTCAGTTCTTCTTGAGGGCGTTTCTAGCTGAGGGATTTCTTCTCCCCCCTCTGACTCCTGAGCTGCTCGACGGCTTGGGATCAGTTCTGAATCCCGGGCTATCCAGCTGGTTCGGAAAGGTTCTGTGGCACACTGTACGGAGGTATTCTCTTCGGCTTGTGTTTCTGCCGTTTCTTGTACCCTGGCTGGGTAGGGCCTGCCGTGCCCTTAGGTCCTGTCGCTACGTCTGTCGTTGGTGTATCTGGCTGCAATGCCATCTGTTTGTCCAGCTTCAGGCCAGTGCCTGAGGTGTGTTTGATGGAGTATCCATCAAGGTGCACTCCAAGGTTTTGGAGGGTTTTGGGCCATAGCGCAGGCTCCACTGCTTTTGTGAAAGCATCGGCTTTCTGGTCGCTTGTTCCAACAAGGCTCAGTTCCACGTCATCGCGATCCAACTGCTCCTTCACTGAAGCCAAACTCACGCGATGTACGCGTTTGAGATGCCTCAACTTCTTGGAGTATCCAGCGGTCACGACCTTCGCGCATGCAGTGTTGTCTTCGCGAAGCCTCAACAACACAGGACGTCCAAGCATTGCGGAATACAACTCAACCAATGGCAAACCCTCTTCAAAGAGCACATACGACAATGCGACAGTCTCCGCCTCCGTCGTGCTTCGACAAGTAGCCGTCTGTTTCTTCGACAGCCATGCCAAAGGAAACGATGTCCGCGGGCCAGACAACTGTAGCCATCCGCCAGTGGTACTGTGGGTGTGTTCATCATCTCCGCAGTAGTCTGCGTCTGCGAAAAGTTCAACAAACACATGTTCTGGCGCATCACGCACATGCCCAAGCAACATAGCGTTCTTGGTGCACTCGGTAGCACATGGCACGGTATAGGTACGCATCACAAGCTTGCGTCCAGGACTGTACCATGGTTGCCAACCAAGTCACAACTCTCAGCAGGTCGGGACGAGCAAGGCGTGCCAACCACATCAGTCTCATCAGAATGCTACTGGCTGAAGATGCCAGAGCACCACGCTCTTCTGCTCCAACGAACCCCTTGCTGAGAAATGGCGATGCGACGACCTTCATCTTTGGGCTGTTTGCAACCCTCAAGTACTCTTGAACAGTAGCCTCAGCGTAAGCACGCATGTCAAAGCCAAAGAACTCTGTGTTGTCAACCTCGACAGTGGAGTGGTGTCGACCAAGAAAGCGACCCAACGGTCCAATGTCATCAATCAACACCTTCTCACCCAACGCCTCCCAGAAAGGCTCATGCCACTGACTTGGTCCTGAGAGAATCAAGTCGTCCACGTAGACAACCAATGCCAATCCTCCGAAGGTGGGGATGGTGAAGGTGGATGCAAACTCTTCAACCTTGACTGCTCCTAAGAGACACAACTGTTCTTCAAGAAACTGTTGCCAATGGGCCCCAGCTTCTGGGTGTCCATATAGCGATTTGCGCAATCTAATGATTGGTCTTTTGAAGCGAGGGTAGCCGCTTGGGGTGAACCAAGACTCAGGCCACAACTCTTTTGGGAGACGGATGTATGTGGCAGCCAAACTTTTCAACTCCGATTGGAGATAGGCCTTAACGGCGTCTGCCGACGACAACTTGTGTCCCTCAAAAAGACCAAAAGAGATCACGCTATTGGCTGCAACTATCGACGCAGGAGACGCAGCTAACGTCTGGTAAAGTGCTAGCTTTCCTTCAGCCGTCTTTGCAGAATCACCACGATAGCACACACGACCTTTCAGAGCACGAAGCTCTGGAGCCAACTCAACGTGCTTTTCGCTGCAAATAGCAAGCAAGTCTGCAATGTGAATCGTCTCTCCACTTTGCAATGCAGCCTCCTTCACGCGGAACTCTTCATCAACCGACTCAAGCTCCCATGTTCCCATGGAACCAACACCATCGAACTCCTTACGGATCGCCTGCAGTGCATCAGGTCGGGACAACACTTCGTTCCGGGTGAGCTGTCTTGTCACCAGGGCATACACCCCAGCCGCAACGTCTTCCGGTGGGACGTACCCCTCGGGAAGCTCATCTGGAGAGTACTCGGGACCTTCGGTGGTCTCCGGCTCAACCCAATGTTCCTTCTCTGCTACTCCTGTGGAAGAGGAAGAAGAAGTTTTCTCTGAACTCTTAGGCATTGGAAGCGGTCCAGGTGTCTTTGGTGCTCCGACATCTGGCGCCGGTGTAGGCGGCGCTGCAGCTTCTCTAGGGAAGATGGCATCAAATCGCTCGCGACATGCCTTATTGTGGCGGTAATGACCACCATCACATCCAGGGCAACCCTTCGTAAAACCATGCTCCAACAAACGTGAAAAAGTAATGTATGCATGACGTGGGGGTGCAACTGGGGTATCTTCCGGAAAAGCATCAATGTCAATGTCATATGGGAGCACGCCCGACTCAAGAGATCTGTCATAGATCTTCTTCTTCACCTCAACATCAGGGTCAGACATCTCCTTCAACGCCTTCATTGCCGCGTTGGACAAGGGAAACTCAATGTATTCAACAGGAGGGAAAAACACCTCCTTCTCATGCAAGTCCTTGGGACTCCAATGCAAATGCGCTCTTGCACGGACAGCTTCATAGTCAACAACTTGTACGACATTGCGGTATCGCAAGCCTGAGTCAACACGCCATCCAGCAAACAAGCCTGGTCTTGTAGTTGGAGCGGCCATTCCATCGCTCTTGGCCCTGTAGAAAACGAGTGCACCAAGAGGGTACTTCACTCCAAGAAAGGGCTCACCTGTGCAAACCTCCCAACGGGTCTTGCCAGTCTTGAGCTCCTCAATCTCCGTCCCACGCTCATGCTTGCGAATCACACAAGGCGACCAAAAGGCACGAGCTTTTGCAGTGTAAACAACGGAGATCGGCCACATCTTCTTGCTGAAGCCGGCCTGGAGATGTGCTGGTCTGCACAACTCTTTCAAGGTCCTCACCTCACGTTCGACGTGGGCCGCGTGAGGCCAATCCCCGCTCGGGGATATTGTCCAGCACAGCCTGGATGCCGCTCCGGTCAACTCACCGGCTGCATCTGATTTAAAAATGACACCGGTATCACCGTTCAACCTATGGCCACCGAAGTGTTTCAAAGAGTTGTAACAGGATTCTTCTGACCTGTCTCTGGCCGGATAGGCCATGCTCAGACCGGAGAAGAGATCAACGATCACCAGAGCCACCTTCTCCCCAGCGTTGCTCACGCTTTCTTCCGACGGAAACATGTGGTCGGCTTCGAGCACACGGCCAAAAGCAGCCGAGCGCTCATACGCTTCATCACTAGGCTCAGGTCGAACTCCCTGGGCATATCTTTTCAACATCCGACCACGCACACAATGCTCACAAAAAGGATTCTTCTTTGCGTGGGTCGTGATGTGGTCTAGGCTCTTTGCCTCACGCTTCAACCTCTCATCTCTCGACTCTGCAAATTCTGCTTCGTCATCCGCAGGAGCAAGGTCATCTTCAAGCTCGGCGGGAGTTGCAAAGGTATCAACGGTTTCAATGACCAACGGTCCACGGTAGACCTGTTCCTTTGGCTCCTTCTCGACATGCTCCTGTGCAACCACGCACACAGCTGCCTCACAAACGGGCATGGCGGGCACCTCCTTGAAAACAAGGTCAGGAAACAAAGAAGAGAAGACAATCTCACACATGATCTCTGGGTATCTTGCAGTCGCGCTAGTATTGGATCCTGTGATAGGTGCATGTTTGAAATCAGTACCATGCTTGCAGCGACACTCGTTCAAGTTCTTCGCGAGGTTCTCGTTAGTTGTTGCCACTCGCCACTTCTTGAGGAACGGTGTGCCCTGCCAATCAACAAGTCCAACTGCACAACCATCAAAATTCACCACTGTCATGCCAATGTCTTGGATGAGCTGGCACAATGCAGCCTGCTTCCAACCCAATGCATGTCTGGGCCATTCAAAATGAACATCTCCACCATGCTCAACAACACATTTAGCAAGCTCGCAAAAGCGATCAAGCAGCTTCAGCGACAAGTCTCTCGACTTGGCCAATTTCTTTCTGAACTCTGCCCCATAGCGGTGTGCATTGAGGTATTGCCATTGGCTCCACGGTCCACAAGGAAGGCTAGCCCACAAATCAATACCTGGGTGCTCACGAATGAAGTTCTTCAGGTGCGACGTGGTACTCTCATACTCTAAATTGTTCACCTCCTTGGTACAACGTGTGACCTTGACATTCAACCTCTCACCAACAACACCTAGGTTGGAGTCCGGCTCGGTGCACAACTCAATAAGCATGCCACGGCCCTTGAGGCCAGTCTGCCTTGAACGCTGCTTCACAGTGCTCGCAGTCAAACAGGTTGGGTCAGTCTGCATTTGTGGTTGTTCAAAACTCTCGAGCTCCTTCATCACCTCGACGGCCAGTGCCTCAAAGCGTTTTGCTATCTTGCCTTTATTGGCCTGGGCCTGCGCGGTGTAGAACTCAACCATGTCACGCATCATCACAACCATAGACAACTCACCACGCGGAAGCTTCTTCTGCCCCTTCTCAACAAGACGGGTCTTCTTCATGGCCT